AGAGGCGATTATTCTTCATCGATATAGGGATTAACGGTTTCTCAGCTATACCGATAAGTTACCAGGGAATGAATCATTAGCAATGTATTTCAGAGTATAAAGAACTACTCATTTATTTATAATAAAGGAATCGAGAGTAATTAGTCATGCTAAACATGCACTTATTCACTGACTTCTATCTAACTGAAATCTACGCTACTTATTATTATATATCTTTCGAGCGGAATAATTTATCTATTTTTAGCAGCTAATGTTCTGTCACTAAATGTTCGTAGCACTAGCAGTGACCACTTATTCTTGAAATCCGCAGTGTTACCGCTGATCGATTTGTGCTGCGGCATCGTCGGAGGAACGCGTAGCGTCACAATAACCAGTTTTGATTGTTATTAAACACAGGGTACGGGAATATGAAAGTGGTGTGTTAAAGAACGATCACCATGAGCCGTGGTTTAATGTGCATATTTGGGGTTCAATTGTGGACCAATGTTTTGCAAACATTAATGAAATAGAGGTTGTCAGGTTGGTTTTATCGATTTATTGAATCAAAGTTGTTATTGCAAGTTGATTTTTACGTTCACCATTAGAGGTGAGTCGTGTAGCATTGCATCTGGTTATCGAAAGAATGCTACAAGAAAAGTAGCAGGAAAGCAGGCAATGGCCAGATAGAAAATTGGCCGGAAAGGAGACTTCATATTGTGTACAACACAAAATCTTGAGTTTGGAGGTGCTAAAGCAGGACGATTTTACAAAACAGAACAGGGAACAAAGTGGATGGTGGAGAGTGGCCTTAAGCTCCCCAAAATGTTAAAAGACATGTTGATACGGTTGGGGAATGAGATAAGCTGGACAACTGCAATTTTGCAAAAATTAAAAACAATTGGATTCATACATGGTGGTAAGCTCTTTCTAATTATTACAGTGCTGTCTATTATAGCTGATCCAGATGAGTTTCTACTCTATCTCTAGGTCTTAATCAAATGCTCATGGAATTGGACTGTCCAGAGGGCTATGTCTGCCGTGTACACAAAGGGGATGTATACAAAATTGCAGACTGTGTGACGAGAGACACTGCCACTTTTAACAGTTACAGTAACGTGCAAAAGTATCCTACCGGTTGTATCATCTAAACGTACATAATAATAACTCCTTAAATTTTCCA